TGCCGTACTGACATAAATGAACATTTGCACAATATTCTAATTTTTCGAGTTTCACCTGTAGGTATGTTTTCCCCATCACTTACTAAAAAAGAAAAAGGAACATATTGCAGTTTGACGGTCAGTCTTACCCTGCTAACCTTATTTCATTTTTTGATCAAGTAATTTCCTTGAAAAGCATATCTAAATTAGAGTTAGCAAATGGGGAGCCACAAGGATCAGTCCTGGGTCCTTCAACATTTTTATTAATGACTTGGATGAAAAACTGGAAGGGGAATGCTTATCATATTTTCAAATAATACAAAACTGGGCAAGATAATTCTTTAGAAGACATATAAAATTCAAAATGGTCCTGATAGCTGGGATAATGAGTTAAAAGTCATTGAATGAAATTTAACAAAAACAAGTACAAAATTCTTTACTTAGAATTGTGGCTGATGACAAACTGAATGCTTCATGTTGAAACAAATGACACTACCAAAACAAGCCTGGGAAGAATATCTAAAGACTACAAAGAGCTAGGAAAGAAGGTGAAAGAGTTTGAAGCATAGGTAATGGACATGGCCCAAGGAAGGAGTGGAGGATTCTGGAGGTGAGCCACCGGTTCAAGAGATGGTGTCATCAAGAAAACTTTGGATTCCTAGTTTTCTTCAATACCTGGAGGAAAACCAAGATCTCTCCAATAAAGTGAGAAGCAAAAAGGACAAGTTTAAAAAATACAAAGAGGCAGAACATCAAGAAATAGCCTGAATCTGCAAGGATGGAGTTAGAAAGGCTAAGGTTCAGCATGAGCTAAGTCTTGCTATGAATGGCAAAAGGATTTTTTGGGTACGTCCAGAACAAGAGGAAAGTCAAGGAAACGACTGGCCCGTTGGACAGAGAAGATGGCAAGATGGCGACGGGCAACAGGGAGAAAGCTGAACTGCTTCATTCCTGCCTTTTATCTGTCTTCCACAAAAGGAAAAAGCAGCCTGACTTGAAGCAACAGCATGGGGAGCAGAAGAGAAAAGCAGATCAAACAGGGAAGAAATTGGTGAGGGAACACCTAGTTCCTCTGAATGAATTCAAGTCTCCTGGACCAGACGGATTACATTCCAGAGCATTAAAGGAACTGGAAGACATAATCTCAAGAGCCGCTGACTGAAATCTTTGAGAAATCCTAAGCACAGGGCAAGTGCCAGAAGACTGGAGAAGAGCCAACTTTATTCCAATATTTTAAAAAGGGGGAAAAGTGGGCCCAAGAAACTACAGACCAATCAGCTCGACAACAATACCTTGGAAAGTGATAGAAAAAATAAGCAGTGGGCTTACAGCACTTAGAAATGAACAGCGTGATTACCAGAAGCCAGCAAGGATTTGTTAAAAACAGGCCATGCCAGACAAATCTTCTTTCTTTGACAATGTGACTAGATTAGTGGACCAAGGGAATGATGTGGATGTGGCATACTTAGACTAAAGTAAGGCATTTGATAAAGTAGACCACAGGCTCCTTCTTGATAAACTGGAACAATGTGGGATGGATGGTCCCACTACCAGATGGATTCACAGATGGCTCAGCAACTGTGGTCCTTAATGGGTCTATGTCCGCACGGAGGGAAGTATGCAGTGGCATACTTTGGAGTTCAGTTCTGGGCCCACTGTTCTTCAACATTTTTGTAAATTATGTAGATGAGGAAATAGAAGGGATGCTCATAAAATCTGAGAATGACACAAAGCTGGGTGGGATTGCTAACACCCCAGAAGACAGACTCAAGGCTCCAAAGGATCTTGACAGTGATGGTCAAGATCGATGGTCCCTATCCAACAAAATGTTCAGTGGAGAGAAATGTCAAGTTCTGCACTTAAGGAGGAAAAATCAGATGCACAGGTACAACATAGGTGGTAGCTGGCTTAGCATAGTACTTCTGAGAAGGATCTGGCTGTCTTGTTAAACCAGAGATTAAGTGTAAGCCAGCAATGTGCCATAGCTGCCAAAAGAGCCAATGCAGTTTGGGGCTACATGAATAGAGGGATAGTGTCAAGATCTGTTGATAGAGGATGGCCTTGATGAACAGAAAGAAGATCTGTTACCAAGGCAACAGTGAGATAAACGTGGCTTGATCCCAGATCAAGAAAGTGATTTACAAAAATGCCTCTGATAGAACCCCCCCCCCCCCACTTCACATGAAGATAAAAAGAGGGAAGAGGGGAAACACATTC